ATAGCTCTTTCAGTTCTTTCGGGCCCATGCAGTTGTCAAGGAAGGGGAAATCCCTTCTGCTGCAGAGAGGTGATGATGGGAAAAAAATTGCTAGAACGTCTTCGAATTCTCTCTTGCTTCTCTTGTCCACAACTAGAATGATCTTCAGCTGAAAATGGTAAAACTATAGAACAGGTCATGATAGGAAAAAGAGCTGTCATTAGGGTGTGCCTACTTTGTGCCAAACTCATATACATTTTCTCATGAAATCCCAATTATAACACAAAAACGTCAGTGTTATCGTAACCAGCAACCTGTTCCTCCCTTGCTGTACCCTGTCCCACCACGCTGTTTGTTAGCACCTAGACTGCTCTACAAGGAAGACATAGTCGATGTCTGTGGTCGTATTTATAGTTCAGTAAGTCATTTGAGAAAGGCACGAATTCCCCATGGATAAAGTGGGGGATGTGCATGGTGGATTATGGCCAGGTGCAGTGGCTTCACAATGGATTGAAGAACCTGGTGTCTTGTCAGAGAATGCAGGGTTGCATCTGGATATGCCACTTCTCAGATGGGAGACCTTGGTCACATTAGTCAAACTGTTTGAACTACCATTTTCTTATCTGCAGACTGAAGACTGTGACACTACTTGCCTCATAAGGTAATCATAAGGGTTAACTTAAATAACATATTAACTTTGTAAACTATAAGGTGCTACGTGACAGTCATTATTATTCACATTAATATTACCCACAGAGAGTTAGGAAACTTTGATCTTGGCCCTACTTTGGTCAACATTTCACAAAGACATGGATGAAGACTGAGGAAATGCCCTGATCAGGTTTGTGGGTAGTGGAAGGTAGTATGTTTAGTGAGTTTTGAAGCTTTAGCATACAACAGCGTGAATGCCAGGCTTAGGAGAGTCCTAATGTTTTGGTAGACTGGAATGCTAGACAAAACAAGTAAGAAACAATTTAGCAAGAATGAACTTTTTAATGTGTGCATGGCTAAAAATGAAATGCCACAAGGACAGAATGAGCAAGCAATTGCCATGATGGCCAATCTGAGAGATTTGGTTGACCAGTAGCCCAGTCTGACATGTGAAGTGGCTGCAAAAAGAGGCAACAGGTTCACAAGTGGCACCTATAGAAGCAGAGTCCATAGTACTTGGACCCATACCCATCTACTGTCATTTCCTTAATTCTGGAGAGGGTGGATAGAGGATAAGTAAGATGATAAGGTTTCTAGTAAGAGACATGTGGCTGGAGAGATTAGAAGCATCCAGAGAGAATAGAAGCATAATTGCAAATCTCACCTCTACAGCAATAGTCAACACGTATTTGGTCTTACATGCTTGATATTGTGCTAAGTCTCTTTTCCATGTTACTTCATTTCATCCTCTCAACAGGTGAGCCAGGTATTATTATTATTTCCCCTTCCCTCATTGTATAGATGAGAAAACAGAATAAATGACTCAATCAAGGTTACATGACTAGTGAGGGAACACATACTTGAACTTGGGCATTTTTATCCAGAACAAGCACTTTTAGCCAACATGCTATTCTTCTTCCTATCAATTGGGAATAATGTCATTGAATTTAAAATATTTGAAGGACAATCTGTGGGAGAGGGACAGGCCGTATTTCTAGAAGGCAGTACGAGTCCCAGGAAGTACAGAATACCGGAAGGGATATTTAGGCCAAGCGTTAAGAAGAGCCAGATACAAACTATGGAGTGAAATGTGAAATGCATTGCACAGTTTATTTCTCCATCCACTTACCAAGCAGGGGCTGCATGCCCACCATTAAGGGTTTTGCCTAATGTTATGAGGTTGCCATAGGTAACCTCAATGATTCCTCCAATATCTTACAACTTCATTGGACTTGTTGACCAAATGTATTAAGACTAATGACCTCAAGCAGCAGGAACCCCAACTAACTACAGCTAAAATGTGTGGGCTGTCTTGGAAGAGCAAAGAGGCAGCTGGTCTCAACCATAATGGAATCAAGAATGTGACATCTGTAGGACTGTCTCTCCAATTCTTGCCTCCAGTTGACTTTGTGGAGTTTCTTCTATCATAAATGAACGTTTATCATACATAAGAAAACAGCAGCCACCAACAGTTCCTCATTTCTATTTTTTCTATCTAATAGTTTTTGTCACTGGAGATGGACTGCCTCTTTGGCAGGAAAGCAAAGTAAATAAAACAAAAATGAACCTTCACAGGCAAGGGCACAGGTCGACCTAGTTTAAGAGTCTACAACTCCACATCATTCAATAGGGACAGAGGAATGGGATTATTTACAACGTGACAGATCTCATGGGATCAACAGGGATAGATCAGAAAAGGAAACACACTGAACCACAGGGTGCCCTGTCCCAAGGCAAAAAGACAGGAATCTGGTGCTCAAAGGACAGAAGGGCACTATAGGCTTTTTGATTCAATCTTATGCAAATTATGAACATAAACTTCAGGACTCGGGAATCTTCTAGGTTGATGATAGTGATCTTTCAGGCAATATCTGGAAGGGGCATTCACAGTTAAGGCCCTACAATATGCTCAGGTCTTAATCTTGAAAACAGAACCACAGGCTTTGGTTCCTGTAGTCAAAGACCTAACCATTTAATGGGATTAAGGGCTGAGTCGCACTCAGAACCATGTTAGATATAATTACCTAGAGAATTAGCTCTTACTAGTTATCTCATTTACAAAGAGATCTCACATCGGGTACAAGCAAAAAGCTCTCAGTGGTTTTAGAAACAGCCCAGGATGGAGAAATCTGTATCTACTTGTTCACTATTCATTCACTCACAAGCACTGTAAGAGATACTGTAAGATAAAAAATCATAGACTCATGAGTCTGTTCTCTCAAATACCTCCCTCGCTCTTCTCTCTGGAATATTCTGCATCTTAGTCTGGCCTCCTGCTACCATCATCTCCTGTTATTTAACCCCTATCCATCATGCTAGATGTCAGCCTCTGCTGCTTTGATTGGGTTAAATGCCGTGTTGTATCCTCCCTTCTATCCTCAGGGCTTCACGTTAGGCAAGTTACCACACTTGTCATCTTTCATTGCCTGTATCTTCTTCAGTAGAATGAAATGTTCTCTTCACTATGCCTGGACTAGTGCTTCAGAAATAACAGACTAAACATTGCTTGACAGTTATTTATTGAGTACTTATGTGGTAAGCATTGTTCTTGGTTCTTAGAGAACAGAAGAAAAAAGGGGCCAGTGCTATGCTGTAGCAGGTAATGCTTGTGGTGCCAGCATCCCATATGGGCACCAGTTGCTGGCTGCTCTACTTCCAATGTAGCTCCCAGCTAATGGCCTGGGAAAACAGAGGAAGACGGCCCAAGTACTTGGGCCCCTGCACCCACAGGGGAGACCTGGAAGTTCTTGGCTCTTGGCTTTGAACGTGTCCAGCTCCAACCATTGTGGCCATTTGGGGAGTGAACCAGCAGATGGAGGATTTCTCTCTCTCTCTCTCTCTCTTGCTCTCTTTCTCTGTAGCTATGCCTTTCGGATAAATAAATTTTTTTTAAAAAGAATAGATATGGTTCATAAAGACGCTTATATGTTGGTTAAGTGTTGATTTAATGAAAGCAGAGTATATAGCTCAAACTCCTTATTTCCCAGATGAGGAAATGAATTCCACAGCAATTAAATGACCTGAGTCAAACCACATGGAAAATTTGAGTGGCACACTTTTTAAAAAATTGGTTCATTTACTTAAAATTTTCCTCCTGCACACTGCTTCTCATTTTATAAACCAAAGGTGGGTGTGTGAACTTCTATTTATTTAGTCCATGGATGCCAGCAGGACATTGAGGGAGGGCACCATGTGTTGAGTGAATGTAAACAAACATGGACAGAGTATGATTTTATGTGTACAGAACAGTAAAGGTTTAGTCTGGGATAGGCACACAGCATTGGTGATTTCTTGCCCAATTCTGTCACAGACCTTACAAGAGGGACCTTCATGCTCCTTATTGTTGCTTGGGGAACACTGGCACCTGGGGTCCCTGGAAGAGTGAAGGACTTGGCATCAACGGCAGCGACAATTTTAGGGTTCAGTCGGGAACTGCTAGTATGGCTCAGTTCTGAGCTGGGAGTCATGAGAAGCACTACCATAGGCCACTTTTGAGAAAGACAGGCTTTTCAAGAGAAGGCATATGAGAGAGGCAAGGGGATTTTTTTTTTTTTTATCATGGGAGTGTATGAACAGCCAAGATATAGCTCACTAGAAGAGGGAGCAAATCCTGAATAATGAAATATGGGAGTGGTTTGGGCAACTGGACTGGAATTGAGTCCTTGGGAATGGAGGAAATGGTTGTCTTGAAGACCGGAGAGCACTAGGATTGGGTTTCAGTTGGATAACTGGGAAGTGAGAGACCAAAGTAGCTCTTACATGTGGACTCTGGGGAGGGTGCCAGGGATGGGACACCGCTGAGGCCCCTTTTTCTCTCATTTTGGGGAAACGCCCTAGAAGGATATGGAGAAGCTCTCACCCATTTACACTCACACAGCGGAGCCAGGCCCTGGCAGCATGCGCTCCTCACCCCACAGCGCTGGGCAGAGAGACGCAGAAGCATACATCACGGCCACCTCTGGCATCTTTTTGCCCAGGAAAAGAGCAGAGCCTGTGCATGATTCTTGGTAACTGCCATCAGTCACGGCCATGACTAACTCAGAATCTCACTCCTCTCACCCCCATACAACTTGTCACTGAATCATTTCACCAGAGAACACCTCAATCCAGTAACAACCTTAAAACAAAACAAAACAAAAACAAACAAACGAAAAACAACCAGCAACTTCCAGTGAAGTGAGCAGAGTCTTTGGTACTTGAAGAAAATGCTCTCCTGAGGGCTACTGGCTAAGACCAGCAGTCCACTTATGCCATGCAGAGGTAGGAAATGACGACTGTGTGGTCTTTAAATGACAAGCGAGTTTAGGGACATGCTGTGGCAGGCTGGGGATGTGTGGGAAGAAGTCAGAGAAAGCACTGCACACAACATCTGTAAAGAAAATGTTTTATTGAAAGTGTTAATACCATCACCAGAATGAATTTGATTTACATTAGTTGGTGTTTGTTACAGGACTAATCTGCCCTTTTTTTCCCAACTGAAATTCCCTTTACTTTGAAAACATACTATGTACAGGGCAGCAATGGTCACTGGCATGGTGCTATTTACATGACTAAACCACAAGTTGAGGTGCAGACATGTGAAAATTAAAAAAAAAAATACACCAACTTTTAAATAAATACTGCATAATGACAAGTATGTACAAATATTCCATTCAGTCATGTCCTTCTTATTAAAATTAGAAATAATTTGTATAGGAATATGCACAAAAGATTATGTGACTGCATCTTGCTATCAGGAGAATGGTGAATGTTTACTCTAAGGGGTAGTGTAGACACTACAGGCCTATTAAATCAATTGTTGCTGGTACACAGATGTCTAAATTATTTCAATAAAGTTTTATCCATTCTTTTAACAACTTTACCTGGGTCCATCATAGATCACAGAACGTCAAGACACAGTCTCGGTGTATTTCATATTGCACCACATAAAGAGAAGGCATTTTTAGTGATACTCATTTTTAACTTTTGCACCATATCAAGCACAACAGTTTTTAATGGTCAGCACTGAATTAAAAAAATAAAATAAAAACAAAAGCAAAGAAAAGAAATTGTGCATGGCCTTACTTTAAATAAATGGAATGTATATGTGTTTCAAAAGCTATTATAAGAAATTTAAATCAATCTGTAAGAATGTATTATTAAAGTGTATGTCAACAACCAGAAAATATGGGTGGCTGATTACGTTAACCAGTGACGTTTCCCCCAGATAGGGGAACTTAGGAGAAATTTGACCTTGCAGCACCACCCAATGGTAATCACTGTCTGTAAAAGCAAAGGCAGGGGTTTTGACTTTAGGGATTTGCACATAGACTTTTGGTGATGGCATCAAAGAACTATTAATAGGCATACTGACTTTTTTTGAGTCACCTAAAAATTGGAGCTTTAAAATTCTTGCAAATTTATGTTTACTATATTTCTTTAGAAATATAATTTGTGAAAAATTGAATTTCACTACAGAAAAATGAATTAATAAACAGCCCTGTGTTTCAGGGCTCCAAATTTTTAGCAGTGTTTCTATACACATAGTAAATGGAAACTGGCTAAAGAAACTGCTTTAACTGATTAGAAAACAAACAAAACCTAAGACCTTCTATAAATAATACTTTAACCCCTGTATGAATAATGCTGGTGTTAAAATAAATTCATTAGACATTACAATGGCCACATGATTTTAGGATTTTCCTGTAAACTCAACTTTGAGGGTCAACAAAAAATTACCATGCACTGTACAATAAATTGCAAAAGTTCAGATATCTTCTTTGTCAAATACATGCTGACTTACTTCAATTTACTCCCAAGTCATGTTGCAAAATCCTTTTCAACATGCTTGAAATAAAGAAAGCTCTTAAATAGTTGTTTTCCCTTGAGAAATTCATAAATTCAGAAGCTTTGATAGCTCTGAATCAAACATGGGGTATAAGAGGGGATCAGATGAAAAATTTGTAACTTTTTAGTACAAGATTCACTCTGGTAGGGAGAAAGAAAAGAGTAAAAGAGGGAGAAGAGGAAAAGAGAGAGAAGAGGAAGGAAGATGCAAAAAATTTGCACATATGGAACTTCATAAGATTTGTATATTTAACAGGGAAATAAATTGAATCTATTACACTCATTTGTCACATAAAGAGAATTTTAAGTATCTTCTAGAAAGTACTTTCATTTGTAATGTCTGCCAAAACACAGACTATGATTAAAGAATAAACATGGTGTGTCTTTGTATCACCCTGTTGCATTCTCTTCCCCTTTTAAAACCATGCACTAGTGAAATTTATTTTTAAAAATAATATAAATTGTTGAAAATGGCTGATTTTTATTGTTTTTTTTTTTTTTTTGCAAGTTGCAGCCCCAAGAAAATAATTTAAGTATTCAGCTAATCGGTGTCCATGCAAAAAGAGTTTCTTTAATTTCATTCAGGACAGCATTGCCACAGAATCTTGTTTCCCGAGTCCAGAGTCTCTTGGCATTAGGGAATGACGGGTTGACAGGAGCTACCGAGTCTGCCACTGTCCCTGCTGGACTGACCGCTCAGGTTCACCATCCAGAGGGGGGCTGATGCTTTGTTCCTGACCACTTCTTTGGTCTTCTGCTTTTCACCTGATGCTTCCTAGAACTTCTCTCCTAGATCTGTCACATAGCTTCATGGCTGTACAGCTCCATTTCTGTGGCATAACGGGGCTTTGGGTTCAGATAAATGAAGAAAAAGGTAAGATAAAAATATAAAGGTGCCGTTGAAAAGGGCTTCTGTTGCATGAAACTGACTGATTCTTTGAGATTAATCCATGGCTTCAGATTGGACCAAAAATGAGTGTCATTGAACTCTAAACCTGATAGTTCTTCATAGTTCTGCTCTTTCACCTGAGGGCCTTCGTTAGGGCACAATGTGTGCAACTTCCTCTGAGAACACAGGATCGCGTGGTATCCCTAGAAACAGGCTCAGAAGACACAACATTAAGCATGCAGTGTTACCAGGGTTGGCAACCTGTGATTTTTTTTTTTTTTTTGTAACGCTGGTTGCTGTGACAACAGTTTTACAGCTGCTATGAACGAGAGTAAGAAGGTCCAGTTGAACTTTCCAGAGATGACTGGGAAGCTCTTCTCGTCAGAGGGGCCAGAGTTGGATCTACTAGGGAGGAAGGGGGGAAAAGTTTGAACCATCCAATCACCATATTGGATAGTTCCAGTTCATCTAAAAGTATCTGGGCCACTCCCATGAAGGATTTGTGATCCATGCGACCATAATCTCCCCAGACGATAATCTGTTGGCAAAATTAAAAATAATGTTAGCATAATCATGTATATAACAAAAGTCTTGTAAAGTACTCTGAACAATAAAACACATTCAGTTAGTGTTCCAACATCAAAGACAAACTTAAGTAGTGGCATTTGACTAATGGAGTAGCTTTCTTTAACTTTTGGAATCCAAAAGTACATTAGAACTGTCCCAGAGTGCTAAGATCATAAGCCGTGCAGGGAGATTGGAGTTTATGTGTGATGGGTGTTCGCGAGTCATTTAAAGAAGAGGACAGTGTGTGTAGTTTTATGGTACTGACCACTGCTTCGATGTTTCCAACATATTTCAGTCGTGAGAAACAGAAAACAATGTGACGGAGAGATAACTGGGTCTAAAGTCCGACTCTGTGAAAAGATGTTCTGCGGCCAGGGGATACAGAGCTAAGTAAATACCTGTAGAACTTTTCCTTGGGGACTCTCTTCAAAAGACAACAGCTGCTGGTAAAGTGGTTCCAGCGTTTTTCTTGCCACTTTTGTTTTCTTTTTGGCTATGCACACTCCGTTATCTAGTAGATACACCTTGACATACGGTGCTTGGGAAAGAGAGCACAAAGGAGAGAGCACGTGATGAGCTGTGGCGGTGGCATGCCCAGTGTACTCCTGGCTGACAGCCGCAATGGGTTAATCTCTGGCTGAGAGGGTGAGCAGCCATCAAAAGTCACCGGCCTTCCCACATTATTGAAAAACTACTCAATAGACAATTGGTAACTGTCAACCATACAGAGAGTCTTAGGCAATGTTGCCAAAACCTCTGACTTCATTATTATTTTGCTATCAACAGGTTACATAGATTTACAAATTGCATTCAATGAGAAATGCTTCCAGTTCCAACAGGACTCAAGAGAGATGTCTTACTCATTCTTCAACTCATCAACACATAAATGTAAGTACACCTGCTTTAACCCACCCATCCTCACACATCACTTATTATCACTCAAAAGCCTTTGCTTGTTGGTGACCATGTGGGTACAAGACAGTGATGGGGTTTTATGTGTTATGTTGAAAGTAGCTGGGAAGAGGCAACTAATTATGAATTCTGCTTAGCATTTAACTGGAAAACATAGTAACAGAATCATTTCCTGGCATGTGTAAATCATGGTGTTGTTTACAGCAGAGAGCTGACTAGCTCCCAGACTTATACAAAGGCAATTCTCCTAATCACCACTTCAAGGCTGTACAATGAGTAACATACAGTAATGAATAACATAATTCAAAATGTCTGCAAGAATAGGGAAGTTAAGAGATTCAAAATTACAAGTCACCAGTGAAGGTGCTGAGGCTAAGACCTGCATTTATTTCAGAATCCTCCTGAGTGATTCTTTTATACATCTGCTCCAACAACTTCTACACAATGCATTTGGAGTCACGGTGACATTTGCCATGGCTTCAGGCATCTTAGACTGTAATGACATTTCAGCAGGAAATATGTGGCATAAAAATTTATAACAGTGCCTCTTTTTGTTTATAAATTATAGGAAGCGAAAGTCTTCTCATTAGAATACCCAGCAGACAACAGGTTCATGCTCTGGGCGGGGCCTGCACCGGCTTTTACTCTAATCCCAGAGCACTAGCGAGTCCTCAGAAGAAATTCTGAAGCTCTGGATCAACGGAAGAGTAACACAAACTCCAATTCACAAGAAAAAAGAGCTTTTTATGTGCATGTTGTGATGAAATGGATTATCCAAATGTGGCAGCTTTGACTTTGCAGTGGTTTCTACCACGTGTGATTATAGGTAACAATTAACATTATTGTATGCTAAACTGATCTTCTGTATATAAGGAGAATCAAAAGTGAAGCTTGATGTGATTGGAAGGGGAGAGGGAGTGGGAAAGGGGAGGGTTGCAGGTGGGAGGGATGTTATGGGGGGGAAGCCATTGTAATCCATAAGCTGTACTTTGGAAATTTATATTCATTAAATAAAAGTTAAAAAAAAAACAATTAACATTATCTCCAACAGCTCACCCTCGTTGAAATGCTCACTTATGGGGCTGGCACTGTGGCACACTGGGGTAAGCTGCTGCCTGCAGTGCCAGCATCCCTTCTGGTCACTGGGTTGAGTCTGGCTGTCCCACTTCCGATTCAGCTCCCTGTAATGTGCCGTGGGAAGGCAGTAGAAGATGGCCCAAGTACTTGGACCCCTGTACCCTGTGGGAGACCCAAAAGAAGCTCCAGGCTCCTGGCTTCGGATTGGCCCAGCTGTGGCTACTGCAGCCATTTGGGGAGTGAACCTGAGGATGGGAGATCTCTCTCTGTCTCGCTTGCTCTCCCTCCCTGCCTCTCCATCCCTGTTGCTCTGTAACTGTGACTCTCAAATAGACAATCTTAAAAAAAAATGCTCACTTAGGATAAACACCATGATTACTACAGCCCCAAATCTGTCAGACAATTCACCCATCTTTGAGTATCCTTCATTGTCTAAAAAACAAAGTTTTCAGCATTTAATCCAAAGTTTGTTAGTGGAAATAAGACAAATTATGGACAAAAATAGGAAAATTTCTTCTGTTTTTACCTGGCAGTGTCTTGGAACCTGGTTTTACAACAAGGCCACGGGCCCGAATGATTTCCACCTCCAACTGTCCCTTTTTGTCCATCATTCCTACCTGGATGTCACCTATGGGCATGGGGAGAAGGAACAAACATGTCTTAATATACAAACGCAGCAAGAAAAATGCTAGTGCTAAAGACTATGGTATGACACCATTGATCATTTCCTATATATTTTCTTAAAAAATTCAAATAAATTTAAAATTTTAGCCATGATGTCTTCCTTCAAAAAAGCAGTAAAATTATAACGGAAAAACAGGAATCTTCCTTACTGTTAAAATCTAAGAAACTTTATTCTTGCTGATAATATTGTTAAAGACTCTATGAAATTTAGAGAATGTACTTTTTAATAGCATAACATGAAAACAATGAAATAATGTGGCAATAATTCTTACCCATTGCAGGTGTCGCCAGGGTCTGGCGTCCTACCAATTGAGCAGGCCCAAGGCCATCCAGGAAATCACTGAATTGGCTGTCAGAGGCCAGGCGGACACCCGGGAAAATCAGACTGAAAGCAAAACAACATATGGGATTAACCCTTCACTATCCATATATTCCAGGCAAGCTCAAGTCTCCCTCCAGCCTCCTTCATGTGTCAGGATAGTCAGTGTGGCTGACTGCCCACTTAGACTTATCCCCAACATCCCACTCTGCTTCCCTTGGCTCTTCCTCCACGTTGGCTAGCAGCCCCTGTAAGCCACCAGAAGCACCTGTCACACTGGACTGCGAGCTCCTAGTCTTTCTCTCCTTTGGTCTGGAGGACAGGGCCTGGGATTTCTCTGTGAAACCACTCGGTCTACACATGCACTGAGCACTTACTTCACGCCAGGCTTTAGCCTATTTAATCCACCTGGCTTAGCTGTGAGAGCGGTTCTATTGTTTATCACATTTTATAAATGAAAAAACTCTTCTGGCTCATTCCCCTCCGTGTAGAAATATGCTGTTGATTCTGTCACTTGACCAAAAAAAAAAAAAAAAATAATCCCTTTCCTGACTCTACTTCCCTCTCTCCAGCTACAATTCCTTTTCTTGTCTGGGAACTCCTTGCAAAACTTCTGAGTGCTGTAGTCCATTTCTTTCCTTTTGAAACTCTAATCATTTTTCATTTTCACCACTCCACTATAACTTTCCTGTTCTGATCATTAGTCAAACTTACCTAATGACCACAGTGGAAAGCCCAGCTGTTATTATTCATCTAACTTAATGTATTAGCAGTACTGGGTATGTTGATCCGCCCCTCTTACTTGGAACACCTTCTGCACTTCTTGGATTCCATAGCCTCCTAAGTTTCCTCTTTCTTCCTTCTGCCACTCTTCCTTAGTTTCCTTTGCCAGTTCTGCCACTAGATACAGGAGCTCTATCCTTACATTTTCTTTATGTCTGAATTTCCTTGGTGATCTCATACAATCTCAAGGTTTTAAATGCCATCTCTGCTGCTATTACCTAGACTGCTGTCTCCAGCTCGGGCCTCTCTTTTGAGCCACAGAACTGCATTTCAACTGCTTAGTCTACAGATCTGCTTGGAAATCTGTATAACAGGACAGAAAACTTAACCTGAAACTCAAGCGAAACTTGAATCCCCTCCACAACAAACTCTGGTCCTCTCAGAGGATTCCCATTTTGATAAATGATAACTCTGTTCTTCCAGTTGTTCAACCTGACATTGATCTTTCTTCTTTCCCGGTTATAGACTGAGTTGTCTTCTCCCAACATGCGTGTGTTCAAGCTTGAATGCCCAACCTGACTGCATGTGAACGAAGCTTTTAAAGAGATAAAGCTAAAAGGGGTCATAAGAGGGCAGCCCTATTCCAATATGCCTGGTGTCCTTACAGGAAGAGGAGACAGCAGTGGAAGCAGAGGCAAGGCCACGAGAAGACAGAGGAGACCATCCTCTGTATCTCTCTTCCTTGCTTTATTTTTCTCCTTAGTACTTACAATGCCTAATCTCCTATATATTTTATTAGATTTTCTTGTACATACATACATTTTACATTTTTTTTTCTTGTTTATTGCCTATCTTCTCCATTATGTGGAAAGTTTGATGAGGGTAGGGTCTTTCATCTGGCCGGCTCACTGCTAGATCTCTAGCTCCTAGAGCTATGCATGGGATATTGTAAGCACGTAATTAATAAATACTTAAGCTCAATCAATTAAAATGAAGCTCAGAAAAATCAAATAACTTGCTCAATGTTCTACAGCACCAAAAGAAAATTAAACAACCAAACAGATGAGAATCTAGGTATATATGATTGAAAAACTCTTGGCCTTAAGTATTGAGACTGACTTCCTTGTATGACTTACAGCCTCAACTCATGGCAGGGTAATTGAAACCTTAGAAGGTATGGTGATATATTTTGGATAAATTTATGAATATTCATCTCATTTCTCCATTAAAACTATAAATATCTGGAGCTGGAGCCACAGTTTAAAGGTTTATGCCTGTCACAGTATCTTCCTAACACAGTATCGTACAAAGGTCAGTGTGCTTGATGAACATCTATTTTTCATTTGATCCTTCACCTCATTATAGACTTCCTTGATGAACTTCCTTGATAAAATCGATTTCTTTCCCCCACCTCAACTGCTAAATATTCAATTAATAAAAATGCTTCAGTCTATTTCTAAAAGCACATAAGTCTTTATAAATGTATGGAAGCTATCTATGCCTCTTATATTTACATAGTTGTGCTAGACACACAATCCTTAGGGTACACCTTTACTGCTATGGCAATAGCTCCTCTGGCCTCACATCCATGAACTGGCAGCATCTATGTTGTTAACCATCTAGTGCTCCCATGGAGATGATACAGTGAGTTCAGTACACTCTACTTTCCTCTCTCAATGTTCTTTACAGTCCCATTCACAGATCTCTAGTTGCTAATTGCTGCTAATTTGTTGGTGACAGAGCTACAAACTCTTTAAACTGCTTTAAAAATATCTCTGGAAGTTGATTCAAAGGAAAGCTCCATGATAACTAAAAGATAAAAAGGCTTATCAACTTTCTTGGTGGCATTTCTTTTTGACTACTTAACACAAGTAAATTAATACTAAATAATTAGAATTATTTGCTACTGCATCATAAAAACTAGGTATCAGAAATTCACATGTTTTTAGTAATGACTGTTAAAGCAAAGATTTAAAAATTAGTCTTGTTTGCATGGTGTGGTATGTGTGCTTATTATTTTTGTGCTTTTATATATTATTTAAAGCTAGGGCAAAGTATTTTTTTTTTTTTTTTGCATGTAATGTGAGAGTCACATTTTAGCATCTTGCCATTAAAGCAAAACACTTTATCCCAAAATTTATTTCCCTGGATATAAAAAGCCAGATATGTCACATCACCCAGTGGGAGGTGAGCCAAGTTCTCTTCACAGGAAATCAGTCAGTGAAAACTAGGACGGTGCCATGAAGCACGTGGGTTGACTTTTATGAAAGCAGAGAGTGAGATCGAGAAAAGGGTCCCTGGCAAGACTTGGAAGAGGCACACATCATGGCCAGCCTCACTCACTTTCCTTCGGAGCTATAGCTGTTCATGCTGCCGTCTGTGGATTCTCGGCTGGCTTGGCGAGTCATCCAGTTCCTCATCTCCACTGCCAGGCCTGTCTCTGTACTTCTTTGGACAGTGCTCCGTAGTTTTTTCCCACCTGCTTCTGCCAGGACAGAAAACAAAAGGTATCACAGTTTTGCCATCTCTAGCTGCTAATGAAAAATATCACCCAATGCTTTGAGATCCTCAGATGAAAAGAACTGCCTAAATACAAAGAAAGAAAAGGTAGTTAAAATTTTAAACAATGTCTTAGATGGAAATTTTCTAAAAAAAACTTTAAGCGCAAAATACTATTGTCTTATTTCCACTTAGAGCAGGGTTCAGATTGTTAACATAAGAGAAAAGAAGATACAACCTAAGGAAAAGAAAATAAGCCTTTTTTCATTGTAATATTTAAATGTCAGGTTAATTTATGCCTATTGTTTTTATTTCTATTGTAATAGTTAAATGTCAGATTACCTTATGTATACTTTCTCCCCTTTCTTTTGTCCTAGTGAAAGAACAAGGCCTTCCTACTATTTACAAAGAACAGATGGTGAGTAATCCTCCAACTCTAGCCTTAGTTTTCAACACAAAAAAAATCTGTTCTTTTGCAAACTGACAGATATCAGAAGGCAAGAGAGTTATACAAAGGAAATAACCTTATTAGACAACAGCCTCACATTTGTTGGTAACTTTCACAGATTCTCGTAAGGAGTTGCAAGAATCCAGCAACATCATATGAAAGTGCTTTTAATTCTGAGCCTTGGAGAGTCCTGTCATCAAGGGTCTTCCAACAGCTGGGAGATGAGGTTTACTTGCAGAGGTCGATCAGAAGACCAGTGGGAGTACTACAGGTGCGGCAGAGGCATTCTCCGGAAGTGCTATCTGGAGAGGTTAGGGAGGAGAGAGCCTCGCTGAGGAAGTGGATTTGGATTGGCTCTGTAAAATGGGCAGACTGGGACGCAAAGAGGAGTGAGAACGCAGTGTCTCGAGCAAGGGAAACAGAATGGGCAAAGGTGTAAAGGTGGGGATGACTGTGCATTTAAGGCAGGTGCAATGGCCCAAGTACATGAAAGAGTGATAGGGGAGTGGATTAGACAAGAAACAGCCAAATTACAAAGGGCCTTCCATGTTGGAACGTAGAGTTGAGAGACTACAAAAGCTACAGCAGGAGGGTGATAGTCCAAATTATTTGGCTTAATATATTTCTTGCTATGCCTAAATATTTATCCACATTGACTGTACTGTCTTTGGGATACAACCATATGGTAAGCTCTTTTAGTGTCTGGTATTAGCAAGTTCTTTTTACATTTATAAATATTTGCTGATATTCCCAGTGATTTGTTGAAGTTTCTTTTCACTAAGCCTCTGATTTTTGCTCACCATTTTCAAACGCTGCTTAAATTTCATTCTCTATTTCCAATTTTAATGCATATCAAAATGCTTTAAAGAGTACAAAATATAAATTATGACTGTTGTATAATTTATTTCAATAATATAAGGCTGATATCTTAGATAATTGATAATAAACATGTTGTACTGATATGAATTATAAGAAGCAATAAAGCATTCCCTATTCAAGAGGGAAGGATGTTATTTATGGAGAAATGTTAGTTAATAAATGTAAGAGGAATTATAAAGCTTAAAAATTAACAATTTGCAATCTGCAAAAGAATAAATGATTCAAGCAGGGCTCATCAATGCAGGCTAAAACCATTAAATGAAACATCAGGGAAAAGATGTTCATATGAGCAAATAATCATTCCACAAATTAGATCTAATAGTTAAAGGGGGTGGGAAATGTACTCTAACACTGGGGAACCTGTAGCACTAATTAGTAGCACCAGTAGTGAGATAATCATCTGTACTTTCTGATACACAGAGTGCCACCCATCAAGTTGTTCTAGACAAAGATACACAACATGTTTCTATCAGATCTTTGGAATCAATTTCCAGCTTTTGCAAAAGGGGATAGAGTTACAAGATAAATTGCTCACACACATCAGACAAACCCAAACCATAGAATATTGTTCAAGGAAACAACCTTGTTTCTTTCTCAGTAATCCTCATTAAAAAAAAAAAAAAAAAAAAAAAAAAAAAAAAAAAAAAACTTAACGTGTATTATAGGAAACTAAAAAACACCAGAAGCAAAGAATACAGTCATCTACTATGTCAAGCAGCTCACAGTTTGCTGAGTCCTGTGTGTGTACATATACATAACACCCAATCCTATGTGACAGATTATACAGAATGCATCGTGCTCTCTTCACACATCATGACTATTTATCCACAGCTAACGTTGCCGCACCATAAACACACTGGCATTCTTCCCCAAACCAGCACAAACATAATGATGTGTACTGTTCAGACAAGCGTACTGATCATTTCATTTCCAAAAGATAAAACTTCATGTGTATTTTAATATAAGGATATCTATAAAACATGTTGTGTGCCACTTTTACTTGTAACATACTTTATGCACTTCAAATAAAGACTTACAGTTGTCCACCATATGCAAAGTGGTGTTGAATAAATTACATTAGTCTATTATATTCATACATTAGTATTTTTAAAAAGTTGACATCATTAAAAAGTAGGTGAGGGATTTGTTCTAGACTAAAAGATATAAAAGAGATATAAACATCAAATGCTATGAATGTCCTTTTTATTCTTATTTGGGAAAACAAAACAAAATAAAAAACAGAAATAATATAAACAAAGTAGTATTTAAAACAATTTTAGGGTAACTGAGAAATTTGAATATGGAATACATAATAGATGGGCTTAGAAAATTGTTAACTTTAAAGTGTACATATTATACAGAATTATAAGTACATATTATAAAGAATTTCACTATCATCAGGAAATAAATGCTAAACATTTAGATCTGAAATATTATATTGCCTATTGCTTACTTTCAAATAGTGTAGCAAAAAATACACACACATATACACACACACACATATATATATAAAGAATGATAATGTTAAAAAAAGGATGAGGACATAGAATAGACTCTGTAATTCATGAAATATTAATATTTTTATTTGAGAGTGATCTACAAATGATTACACCAAAAAGCAATAAACTTTTGTCCAAATAAGCACTGGAATCATGTGAAGGGCCGGGTAAAGGGTGGATCCCTTGTTCTCCTTGTGCTTACTTCTTGTGCACAACATCCTCGTGAAAAATTGCCATCATGTCAGATACATGATTTCAGTGAAATCTGAAAATGTGGACTATGAATATGAACAGAAAACATGACTTGCAAAGGAAGTAAGATTCCTGGGGCTGGTGTGGCACATAGGGTTAAGTTGACATTTGAAACACTGTTGTCCTCTATCAGAGTGCCAGTTTGAGACCTGGCTGCTCCACTTCTGATCCAGTTCCCTCATAATGTGCCTGGGAAAGCCATGGAAGATGGCCCAAGTGCTTTGACCCCTGTCACCCACATGAGAAACCTACATGGAGTTCCAGGCTCCTGGCTTTGGCACAGGCCAGCCCTAGCCGTTGTAGCTATCTGGGGAGTGAACCAGAAATTGGAAGATCTTTCTGTCACTTTGTCTTTCAGATAAATAAATACACCATTATTTTTTTTAAAGAAAGGAGCTAGTTTTTATTTAATATCTGACTCTAGCCTACTGTTACACTGTGATGAGAACCAATCACCATTTGTCAGAGAATAACAAGTGAGCATGTAACCTTTTTGCTGACTGACTAGTTTTTACATAAATCCTCTTCATAAAAACTCTAGAACTCCCACAGTGGAGAGGTCAGCTCTGGTGTTACACTGATTCTCTCTGAGTCCCCAGCTGGGTGACACTGAGCAAGTACTTACCCTCTCTGCCACTCGTTTTCTCAAACTGCGAGATGATGGTGATGGCAATAACGCCTTCTACTCAGGATTTTTATGAAGATTAAGGAAGATGACGCACTTAAAGTGCTTAGAAAAGTGCCTGATCCATAGAACACTCCAGTGAATGGTACTGTTATTATTATTGCCACCACACAGGGAACAGAACACATGAACTCTAGGCCTGCCTTCCCCACTGCCGAGCTGGCTCCGTGGCCTTCTGAGTCATACCCTCCTCTCAGAAAAAGGCAGAGGAGGAGCGCAAACGATCGCTCCTCTCCCTTAGCTCCAAAGCCTGTGAGTTGCTGTCAGTGCATGTTCTGGACCATGACCCACAGCATCCGTGGAGGCCACACACTACACAATCTCAATCTTCTGACAGGATTAAAGAACCCAGCTAATGCAATGAGTGTCTGTAGTAGCCCTTTAAAGCCTGTCTTTTTAAATGTTCCACTATCAGATACATTAATAGGCTTATTTAAAAAACTAAATTTATTTTTCAGCATCAAAAAATCATTGTGTCACAGTCACAAGAAAAGCAATTTAACTTACATACAACGCATCATAGTGATGCACATCATTGTTCCAAATGAGCTATCATCTAGTTCAATTTAAAAACCAAACAGTGGTGAAGGTCTACAGAAAATAAGAGCGGTAGGCAGAATTCTAAAAAGATGGCTCCCATGACTGTGTACTTTACATGGACAAGGGGATTTTGCAGACGAGAATAAGATCACAAATTAGTTGACCACAAGATAAAGGAGACTATCTGAATGGGCCTTGCACTCGATGCACCTTGGCAGCCTTGAAGGTGGAACAGCCATGTGGAGAGCACCCAAGGACAGCCACCACCTGCAGTGATGCTGGGTTGACAGGGACCATAGCCCTACACCGGCGAGGAACAAGATTCTGCCAACAACCTGAACGGCCCTGGAAGCAGTCCCACCCCTCAGCTCCATGAGAGCCTCCAGACAAGAGCCCTGCCCAGCTCTGCATTCCTTTTAGGTAAATTTTTAAAAATGAGGAGACCTATAAAATATCCTGTTATGACCATGGGGGTAGACCAATGGGAATCTTAAGAATTTAGCTATGATTTCTTTAAAAAAAAAAAAAAGATTTACAGAGTTACAGAGAGAGAGAGAGATCTTTCATGAGCTGGTTCACTCCCCAAATGGCTACAATAGCTGGAGCTGGGCCAATCCAAAGCCAGGAGCCAGGAGCTTCTTCCAGGCCTCCCAAGTGGATACAGGGACCCAAGCACTTGGGCC